CATTTGGTAAATAAAATTAATTACATTACGTTATTTATTATAATGTACAAATTAAGATAAAAACTACAAGTATTTAGGATAATATGATTTGGTTGTATTATTGGCTACCCTCCTTTAGTACTGATGGTATCATGGACTACAGCCATGATCCAAATACTAATTTATGATGATTAAGGGAGATTCTTTTTGCAGCCCATATTTTATTAGTGGAAATTACCCCTTTGGGCTACTTTAGTGGCCCGTATATCATTAATGTCTCAACCACTTTTTGTTTTCAGATTTAAACTTTTATCTTTTCAGTTTTGTTTTTTTATTTCAGTTATAGACGGTTTCCGCCAATATCGATCCAACCTTCTACACGTTCTACAACGTTCCCTTCCGTCGCACTTCATTTTTCTCTTTCGCGGTTTCCTTCTTTGCTTCGACTTCTTCTTCCATCATCTCCTTGAATTTCTTCTTCTCTTTTCTTCATCCTCTGCATTATCAGTGTTTATCGTTTTTCAGAACTATGTCAAGCTTAAATCCTCGTCGTACTACCAGAGCGTCTGTAGCATTGAATAAAGGAAGTGATTCTGATGCTAAAGGAAGTGATTCTGACTTTAATGGAAGTGAATCTGAGGCTAACAGTTCTTCGCACTCCCCTTCTGGTACAAGTTCTGATGTCGTTGGGAAGAAGAGGAAAAACGACAATACTCCTCGTCGTACTACCAGGGCGTCTGTTGCATGTCGTAATAAGGGAAGTAATTCTGAGGCTCAGAGTTCTTCCTATTCCGCTTCTGGAAGTAGAAGTTCGAATCTCGCTGGGAAGAAGAGAAAAAACGAAAATGCTTCTAAGCCTGTGAAGAAGAGGGCTAAAGTTTCTGCTAATGCAAAAGGGAAGAAGTCTAAGATCTCCGTCAATAAGAGGAAAATTAAAATCAAACCTGGCGGATTTAAGGTAATTACTTACCGTGTTGGTATATTTACATTATTGTTTGCATTTGTGTATGTAATTTGTTGTTTCATTTGTTTCACTTTGTTTTTATTTCAATTTGTTGATTTCATTTTGTTTTTTTTTTGTTTTTTTTAATTCAGGAATGGGAGTATTTTGTTCCATGTGAATCCTGGTTTAACAGTAGGGTTTCTAGCTATAACAAAGATTGCATTGCATCTAATTTGAAGGCGAAATTGACTGACGTTCAATTGAGTTTATTTAGGGAAACCTGCTTTGGCAAATTCCTAGATTTTCAAGACCTTAAATTTCAGCCTCAAGTTGTTCATTGTTTGCTTTTAAGAGAACTTAGTCACAGTCTTCCAAATGAGATGTGGTTTGAAGTTTCTGGTTTTCGTTTGCGGTTCTCCATTGCTGAATTTGCTGTTGTTACTGGTTTAAAGTGTTCTGGTCAATTTGATGAGTCTACTCTTACTTCATTAGACACCAATGACCTCACCAAAAAATATTTCAACAACTGTGCTAAAGTTAGTCGTGAAGCAATTGCAGCTTGTTTTCTTGGTCAACATGCGGATTGTGATGAAGATGCTGTGAAAATTGCCATTCTATATGTTATTGGTTTGTTCTTGTTTACTTCGCCTAAGGAAAAGTTTATTAGTGAAACTTATGTTGCTGTTGTGAATGCTGGTTTGTGGGATTTGTACCCTTGGGGGAAGGACCTTTTTGATATAACTTTACAAAATTTGAAGGGCAGACTTGTGAGAGCGGATACGATAAAAAGTGATTATTTCTTTTACCGTATTCTGGGATTTCCTTTAGCACTTCAGGTGTGGTTTTATGAATGTTGTGATTACTGTGATGGCGTTTTTGCTTCAAGATCGGGTTCTCTACTTCCCCGTATACTGTCTTGGCACTCATCTATTCCTCTCACATTCAAGAAATTGAATATGGAACTTCTTTGTTTATCTGCTTCTCAGGTATTTTTTAAAAACTTGTTTTCCTTGTTTTATGTTTTTTTATTAATATTTTATTTGATTTTCAACATTTTGTCTTTTGTTTTTCTATTATGCAGTTGAAGTTACACAATCTTGTTCTTTCTGATGTTGAAAAAAAATACCCTGAATTGGATGCTTTGTTTGCTGCTAATATCTTAAGGCCCCAAAGTGTTCCTTCTACTTCAAATGCTGGGGAGTTGCCTCATGTTTTTTCTGGCAATGCTGTATCAAGCTCTGATTTATTTGACTTTGAAAAACGTCTAGATAGTAAACTTGCAGATTTCAAGGAATTTGTTCAGGGAAAGTTTACTGTTTTAGAACATAAGCTTGATCGTGTTATAACACTTAATCAATTTCACTCTTCCAAGCAGCCAGTTTCAGGTTTTGTATCCTCACACCAAACTCCTTGTAGACAAACTCCAGTTTCTGAAAACAATGTTTCTGAAGATGATGCTACAATTGTTCTTTCTCTTAATGAGATTGAGTCTCACTTTGTTGCTACTGATGACTTTGTTCATGTTGGTCTTGAGTGTGGTCTCTTACATGATCCAATATTTTCTACTGATCCTTGTGTGAATGCCATAGATAATAAACAGGTTTGGTTTTCATATGTTGCATTATGTTTTACATTGTTTTATTTTGTTTCCTTCCTTGGTTTAAGGTTTTTGTCATTACTAGTTTATGAAGTATATATTTTTTTACAGGAGTTGGTGTCTGATAGTGTTGCAGCTGTTGTTTCATCTGAAGATTCTGATGTCTTATTCAATTTCATCAACACTCTAGTTTTTTCAACTGTTACAACTTCTATGTCAAATGAGCATGATTCTGTGCTGATGGACTACGTTCATAATCTTGTTTTATCTAGTGTTACTGATATGCAGCATTGTGAACTTGATTCTATGTTCTTGGAGCATTGCCAAAAGATGGTTTTTTCTACTGTAATTGATATGATGACTGTTGAGAATCAACCAATTGATCAACAACCAGTTTCTCCCTGTGATGATTGTGTTAATGATGAATCTTTTTATGCTGAACTGGATTCCCTTGTTTCACATTTTAAGAGTGCCAAGGTAATGAATTTATTTTCATTTTTCTTTAGCTTTTTTTCTCATTTTATTTTTGTTTTAATATTCACTTTTATTTTTGTAGTTGTCTAGCACAGATCCTGCTTCGTGTTCTACAAATCCTACGATGGCTTTAGTTCCTTTTATTACACCTATATCAGTTGTTCATACCGATGAATCCAATGTTAAGCATAAAAGGAGTGTTAAGCCTAGTGTTTTTGTCAAATCTCCTTTTGTTGGTGAGTTTACTTCAGGATGTGAGTCTCCACAGTCTTCCGTTGCCCTGGTTCCATGTCCTTTTGTCAATGAAGCAATCTGTGTCCCAGCATATGATGTTCTTTCGGCTTTTAATATTTGGATCGATGAAAAAGCGTATAAGCGGAAGAGGTCTGTTTAAAATTATCATTATATATTATAGATTTTCTTATATCTTTGTTTTTAACTTAAGTTTTTATTATTTTGTAGATCAAAGTTAATGTATCCTGAGAAAATTGATCATCTCAGTCCTGGATTTGACTTTACTGTTGCTTTTGTGGAATCTAAGACATGGTTCCATAGTCTTCACTACATTGGTCAAATGATATCAGATTCTGTATGCTTATTTACTTTTTTAATATATTATTTATATTTGTTGATATTTGTTTATATTTGTTTATTTATTATTATTTTTTCTATTTTTTCCCTTTTCTTGCAGCATATCGATGTGATCTTTCATTATTTTAGGAAAAAAGCCGAAGTTACTAAGATATGCAAATGCAGTTTCACAACAACTGATGTTCTTTTTCAAGTCAATATACAAAAAGCATATGCTGCAACCTTGGATAAATCCTTTTCTTGGTCAAAATTTGCAAGTATATGTGATTGTATTGTAGGCTTGCAGTTGCCCTATTCTAAGCCTTGGGATAAAGTTGAACATGTTCTCATGCCATTGTATATTAAGAAACAGATGCATTGGATTCTTGCTAGGTTTTGCATCAAAGATTGGTGCATTTATGTTTATAATTCAATGAACAGTCCAAGGGATGCATCTCTTGCTAAAGAAGTTGTTCAACCACTACTTGTGATGCTTCCATTGTTTTTTCGACATATGGATCACTTCTCTAGGTATGGATTGGATATTCACAGGGATATAGAGATGAAATTTGTGCTTGACTTGCCTGTCCAAGAATCATGGTAACTTCATTTATTTAATTATATTTTTTTTAATATTTTGTTTATGTTTCTACCATTGACAATATTGTTTTTTATTGTACTTTTTATAGTGACTGTGGTGCTTTTGTTGCTGCTTTTGCTGAGTATTTCATCGATGGCATAGCGGTTCTTGAATTTTTGGATATTGAGCTTTACAGGACCAGACTTTCCTACTTTCTCTACCAATATGGATTGTCCAAAATAAGTGGTGAAGTCCAGAGTGATGCTGAAGAAATCAAACCCAGGAGGAAGAAGCTGAAGAAGTTAATTAAATAGATGTAGCAAGAATTAATGTACTTTTGTTTTTGTGATCTTGTAATGTAAAAACCAAATATGAACTTGTTCTTTTGGAAACATACTGTTTTACTTTTGTGATACAGTTGTACTGTTTACTGTTGTTACACAGTTGTTTTGAAAAGATATTATTGTTCCGTGTCATATGTTTTTGTGTTGTTTCTGTTTGTTTCTGTTAGTGGTTTTCATTGTTTATATTTGTTTCTGTTGTTTCTGTTTGTTTCTATGTCTTATTTTATATCTTATGTTTATGTCATTGTTTTCTGAATGTCTTCCTTAAGTAATTACATTACTACCTTCATGTTTCTACACTTTGTTTCCTTACTGTGTTTGTGCCTGTTTATTCTTTAGAAAAAATTGTTTCTTCTATTGTTTCTTTTCATTTCTTTTTGTTTATCAAAAATAGCAGTTGTTTTTTACTTGTTTATTCTTGTTGTTTATTGTTTCTGCTTTCGTATTTAATCCCATAATAGAACTTTTCGTCACAGAATATAAATAAAACTTATACAGAATGGACACTAACAATATGAATGCATATTTATATTAAATTGAGTTTGAACAGTAGCAATTGAGAGATTTTGTAAAACAATTATATTATAGAAACTACATTATAGAAACTTTCTACTGTTGTGGTGCATTCCTACATGTCTTTCTGTTGTGCCCTTGGTTTCCACACTTCCCACATTTGTGTGTACTTGTACTCTCCCAGTGTGCCTTGTACCTCTGCTTCTTTGGCCTTCCAGACTTTTTCCTTCCATGTGGGGGATAGATTTTCATTTGATCGCAAGTATTCATTGGCCATGTCCCCTGATCTGGAATTGGATGCACAGTCCGTTGATATGTTTGTTGCATCGTGTCCTTTAAGTAGTAAGATGAGCAAAATTTGTATGGCTCTTGATTCATCTTTTTGAGTACTGCCAGTGCATGAATACATGGCAATTCATCAACTTGGAATCTTCTACAAGTGCAATTCTTCTCCTCTAAGTTAACAATAAAGCTTGTGTTCATTTCAGAAACAGTAAATATTGCTTCACTAGAAGGAATCACCTGCAATTCAAACTGTTATATTCACAGTTTTTAATAAAATTTAACTTCATATAATTTAAGCACTATATACCTTTAGCTTCATGCATTTGAGGTAGTTTTGCTCTAGTGTTTCATGTGGAACTTTTGCAAGTTTGGTAAATGTGTTTCTTGCAATATTTCTGTTCATATGTGTCCATATTTGTACCAATGCATGCAAGAACTGTAGCAACGCAGTTATTGGCAGATTTTTTATCTTTTTCAATGCGGCATTCAAGGATTCGGCTATATTTGAAGTCATTGTTGAGTATCTTTTTGATGTTGAGAAAACTCTAGTCCATTTTTCATACCCAACTGAGTATAAATATGGTACTATCCCCTCATCCAGTTTCTTCAGTTCCTCAATGTGCCAATCAAAGTCATCTTTGGTATATGCTTGTGCAGCTTCAAAAAAACTATCTTTCATTTTCTTTGTTTTTCTTTTGAACTTTGTCTTGAGGTTGTTGAATAGATGGTATATGCATACCCCATGCCCAGATTCTGGATACACTTCTAAAACAGCTTTTGCAATACTCTCATGTCTATCAGAAACAATCACCATTCCACTTCTATAAACCAAAGCTTCTTTAATATTTCTGAAAAACCATTTCCAAGATTCATCATTCTCAGAGTCAACTACAGAAAATGCAATAGGGAATATTTTTCCACAAGCATCTTGTGTTGATGCGGTTAACAGTGTTCCGCCATACCTCCCAGTCAAAAATGTCCCGTCAACTACAATAACTGGTCTGCAAAATTCCCAGCCCTTAATTGATGCTTCAATAGCCATGAAGACATACAAGAATGTGTTGTCTTCATTAATTTTAAGTTGCACAAATGATCCAGGATTTGTTTGTTTCACAATATTCAAGAACCGTGGCAGAAAGCCATATGATTCTTCTGGTTTTCCTCTGAGTTTATTTAGTGCTTTTTCTTTTGCTCTCCATGCTTTTAAGTAACTGATTTCAACACCATATTCCTGTAGCATGTCCCTCTTTACATCGGTTGCATTATATTGCGCCTTTGGATCCAATAGCTTAGATTGAATGCATTCTGCTACCAAACTTGATGTTGCATGCCTTTGATCTGCTAATCTTACTTCTAATCTGCAGGAATGTGTATTTACAAGCTTCACAACTTTAAACCTTCCCATTGTTCCAATTTGTTTTGCTTTTATCTCCCAACTGCAATTTTCATCCAAACACTTAGCCACAAAACAAATCTTATTTGACTTTTCAGTCATGTACTGGAAGTGATTTTTTATAGCATTCAACTTCAGTGCTTTCTTGAACTCAGCACGGTTCTTGTATATCAGTCCTACTTCAGGGGCTACATCACTGTTGTTGCACTTTGTTGCTTCTGACTCCACAAATTTATCTTGTAGCAGTTCATCAGTTGTTTTATTTGCCCATGCTAATATAAAAGCATTAATGTCTATCTCTTCACTAATCGTTGAGCTTTCTTCAGACAGTGTTCCTTCTTGTATCCCAGATGTTGTTTCCACTTGTTTATTTCCAACAAGAAACATGTTGCAATTTGTTTCTTCTTGTACACCAGCAGTGGTGATGCATAGAGGGAACTTCGTCACATCTGTATCTTGTTTCTTCAGATGCAAATAAAACAACAGAGCTGAGTTATCTTGTATCATTAGTGGTGGATAATTGTCTCTCACTTTGTATTGAACTATTAATGAGGTTGATGTTGTTTGTATTCCAATCCTATCTGCTACCTTTTAAATCAAATCAGCAAAAGAGTTGTTTGTAGCCAAAGTAATTCCAAAAACACAGAAGTTTACATATTCCATGACTTCATTCCAAAAACCACCGTGATGAACAAAAACAGGTATTGTTTCCATGTTTCCTGTTATTCACAACAAATATCATTCTATATTTAATAATCAATTCATCTACAAAGTATGTTGATATCCAGAAACACAGACTTATTTAATATTAACGATCAACGAGAATCATGATCAACATAGTAGTGCGATACGCAGAAACATACTTATTTAACATCATCACTTTATCAACAAACGCAACAAAATTACATTCAACACTGAACGAAATATGGAATTGTAATTATCTGACCTCGATGATTGATCAAATTTTATGAAAACGATACTTGATTTGCTGTAGAGTCTTCACAGCTGATCGATTCAATCTTCGTTTGGAAGATTGAGATCGATATTTTGATGTGGTAGATAGCTTCGATTGAACATTACTAATCGGAAACTACTTCGCAGAGGATTTCCGCGCGCAGAGGAAGGTAGCCATCTTCGAACGATATTGAGCTCTGGGTTTCTAATTTTGGTGGTCGAGCTCTGAGTTTCTAATTTTGGTAGTTTATATAGGTGATATTTTTGAAATAAAAAGCTTAGGTAGCTTATTTGTGAAAACCGAATCTTGCCTAGACAAAAATGATATTATTTTCTTAATTTTGCTTATTTGTGAAATTTTCCCATTTTATTATTCACAACCCCCAACGTAAGTAATTTTTTTAAAATGTCAATATTACCCTTTCAATTAAATCAACCCATACGAAGAACCAACCTCCCACCACTCGTTCATCCCATCATATTCAAGAGGACATCAAGTGCAGATCTCACTTTATTTTATACTCACCTCGTAAGATTGAAACAATATACGGAGTATTTATCTTCCGTGATCGGAAAATAACTCCTTGGACGAGTCTCAATCCAGAGGAGGAAGGGAGGAGGTGGGCGCTGAAGAAGTGGAGGTTACGGTAGTGGACATCATGAAGGAGGCGGAGGAGGTGGTCACCGCGAAGGTGGTTGCAAAGGTTGGGGGCGGCAGCGGCGGCCATGGAATGGAGCTAGGGAGACGTGAAATTACAGTAACGTGCTCTGTATTGCTCTGTTAATTTTTTTTATTCTTGCGCATCCAACCAAGTGAGCCAGATATATTGTTTCTTCCTTCTAATAAAGCATCGGTTACTTGGTGGTTTTTTTAGAAATGGAATTAACATACCATAGTTTGGAAAGACTTTCACCTTCAATCACTACTTGAATGGCCACTTGGAATGGTTATATGAGAGCCCTCAAAGACGGCAATAAGATGATGTTGGGAACAACAATAGGTATGTTATTTATATTTTATTAATAGCGGGCTGTGTTTAGCAAAACAGAGGTTGCATTTAGAATTATCTTATGATTAAAAGCCCTGAACGGGATTAGCCCATAAACGGGATCAAATCTTCAACGAGATTAGCCCTTAACGGGATCAAGCCCTCAATGGGATCAGCCCATAAACAGGATTAATATTATTTAGCCAATGGGCCTAATTAGGAATCAGACCCACGAAAAAAACTCACCACCAGGTCAGGCTGGACAGCAGGTCTCAGAGGTCCGAAGTTCTAGTGAGGTCGGACTTTCCTTAGGGCTTACGTAGTAGACTATCGTTCAAGTATAGCTATCTGGCAGCAGGCACAAACAAACGAAAGAAACGTAGACCTAAAGGAGATAATCATTGCACAACGTCCAAGGCGTTACATGAGTCTATTTTGATTAATGAGCATTTATTGTATCAGTTTCCTCCCAGAACACTTGTTCCTAAGGTCTATAAATACTTCATGTATATTTCCTATCAAGGGACTGGATTCCTGATTAATAATACTGTCTTACGCTGCCCAAATCTCGTAAACATATAGCTGTCGTAGTTGGATTAAACTCCATCAAGTATCAACATCCATATTATGATTTGATTCATCCAATTTTTTAATGAAAGAATGACAAAAATATTAGCTATGAAATATGATCAATTTTCGTTTAGACAAAAAAGTGACTATTTTAGAATTAAAATGACCTAAGTATTAACTCTTCTCCAGCCCTCCCCTTTACTTTAACGTTTCTCCTTCTTCTCCGACTGGCAACTCCCCTCACTCCTCCGCCACTGCTTCTGTCATCTACCACCGCCGCCGCCAAACAGGTGAGTCTCTCCTTAATTATAACCGAATAGCAGGCAGTTTACACTTTTGGCTAAGTCAATATATTTGCCCTGATCTTATGGGATCAGTTTCTCAACTTATCATGTAGAGATAGTGCCTGATATTTAGGAGTTAGTTTAGCTTAGTCAGTTTTATTATTGCTGTATATATAGCTTCATCATCCTTTGTAAAAGCATGTTCAGAAACATAAAGCATTCTCTTTGAGTTTATATGGTATCGGAGCCTTGATTTTTTCCCCCTGGTTGCTACCTTACTACCATGGCTATTCCACATCTTCTTACTGCAGCCAATTCTGCATCAAATAATATCCACTTTCAAATCCCAACCATCAGTATTAAACTTGATCGAGATAATTATTCCCTCTGGCGCACCACAATTATCTCTGCCCTTGAAACATTTGATCTTGAAAGCTTCATTCTCGACCCTTATCCACCTCCGGAACTCATCTCAGACACCGCTGAAGATGGCACTGTCAGTATCAATCCCAATCCCGAATTCGCTACTTGGAAAAAGCGGGATCGTTTTGTTCTCCTGTGGATCAAATCTACCCTATCTGAACGTGCCCTTGCCATTGTTGCTCGCTGCTCCACCTCTCAAGCAGCCTGGCAGACCATTGAACGCACTTTTCACGCACAAACTCGTGCACGTCGTATGGCCATGAAAACCCAACTCCAAACCCTCTCTAAAGGAGGACTGTCTATGATGGATTATATTGAGCGTAAGCGAGCCATTGCTGATTCCTTGGCAGAAAATCTTCATCCTGTCTCTAATGAGGATCTCATTGGCTACATTCTCCATGGTATGGACTCCTCTTATGCCTCTTTTAAGTCTGCATTCATGCTCCACTCCGATGGTGCATGTGTTGATGATCTTGTTGGCCTCCTGCTCCAAGAAGAAGCTAACCTGGAGCATGAACTCACTCGTCAGGCTGTGGCTCAACTTCCTCCAGCACCAACGCCTACTCAACTTCATCCAGCACCAACTCCTACTCCGCTTCACCACTCTCATGTGGCTCATTCTGCCTCTCGCACTCCCAACAGACCTGCTCATTCCTCCTACACCCACGAAGGCAACTACTCCAATAATTCTTGAGGTTCTGATGCACGTCGTCGACGTGTTTATTGCCAGATTTGCACCAAGCCTGGACATGAAGCCATTGATTGTTGGCAACGTTCCAATCAGACTGCATATCCATCCCGTCGTCCTAACCCTCGTGATCAAACCAAACGGGCCAACTTCACTACCTACTGCAGCCCATCAACCATCACTGATCCAGCCTGGTACTTCGACACTGAAGCTACCAATCATGTCTCTCCTGATATTGGAAAATTAAATATTTCCACCCCTTACACTGGTGATGACAAGTTGCAAGTCGAGAATGGTAACCATTTGTCTATTTCTCATACTGGCTCAACATCTATGTCTTCATTACATTTACCTAATGTATTTATTGTCCCTGAATTGACCAAGAACCTACTGAGTGTTTCTAAACTCACTAGTGACAATAACGTCTACATGGAATTCTGGCCTAATCATTGTGTTATTAAGACTTTTCAGGGCAAACCACTCCTTCACGGCCGCGTTGATAATGGCCTCTACCGCCTTCCTTCTCCTGCAAATAAAGGCTCACCCCACATGGCTCTTTCTGGTGTTCGGACAACGTTAACTGGCTGGCACTACCGCCTTGCACATCCTCATGAATCCATCCTTCGACGTCTTGTTTCCACTTTTGGCCTACCTATATCGAACATGCAGTTGTCCCGTGTCTGTGAGTCATGTCAGTTAGGAAAAAGTCACATATTTCATTTGTCTCATTCTCATGTTTCGTCGAATAAACCTTTTGAATTGTTGTATTCTGATGTTTGGGGACCATCTCCTGTATCTTCTATCAATGGACATCGTTACTTTGTTTTGTTTGTTGCTGATTTTACAAAATTCATATGGATTTATTTCTTATCCCACAAATCTGAGGTTCTTCAGACTTTTATGCGTTTTCGCACCATGATTAAAACACAATTTGATTATGATATTAAAAACCTTCAAACTGATTGGGGAGGAGAGTTTCGTAATGTATCCACACTTTTACAAACGTATGGCATACATCATCGACTCTCCTGTCCGTACACTCCCGAACAAAATGGCGCCGTTGAACGCCGCAATAGAATAATTGTTGAAAAAGGTTTAACTCTCCTCGCTCAATCATCTCTTCCACAAGAATTTTGGGAGCATGCGTTCAAGACTGCTACCTACCTTCACAATCGCACCATAACACCCATCTTGAATTACTGTTCCCCTTATTCAAAACTTTACAACCGGGATCCTGATTATGCTTTTTTACGGTCCTTCGGTTGCTTATGTTACCCTTTTCTTCGTCCTTACAATGGTCACAAAATGGATTTTCGATCTCTTCCATGTGTGTTTATCGGGTACAGTGCTTCCCACAAAGGGTATTTGTGCTTGCATCCATCCACGTCTCGTATATATATATCCCGTCATGTTGTCTTCAATGAAGAAGTTTTCCCGTTTGCTACTCAAATCCCAGTACCAAGTCAACTGCCCCCCGGCTAACTTCCCTGAACCAGCTTGTCCTGACATTCTTGCTCAAGCCTCACACACAATCACAGCCTCACCATTGAGTCCCTTACTGTCAGAGCCTTCCCCACCCTCTCCCCACACACCTTCCTCACCCTCTAAGCCAGAACCATCTCCACCCTCTCTTGGTCCCTCTCACCGACGCTATACTCTCAGTTCTCAAGCCAAACAGTCCATACCACATTATTACCGACCTGCCAGCAATACTCAGCATCCTATGATAACTCGTGCCAGAACCAACTCCCTTAAACCCAAAACCTTCCATACTTCTGTTGACTCCCATCAAACCATTAAGCCCAAGACGGTTTCCCAGACCCTTAAATGCACTTGTTGATCAAATGAAATGCGCACGGAATTTGATGCTTTAATGAGGAATAACACTTGGTCTCTTGTTTCTCGTCCTTGTAATGTTAATATCATTGGTTGTAAGTGGATTTTCAGGATTAAGCGGCACTCGGATGGGTCTATTGAGCGGTACAAGGCACGTTTGGTGGCAAAAGGATTCAATCAGGAAGAAGGGGTTGATTTCTTTGAAACTTTCAGTCCCGTTATTAAGCCGACTACTATTCGATTGGTTTTATCCATTGCTCTATCTCATGGCTGGCAGATCCGGCAACTCGACATCAATAATGCTTTCTTGAATGGTGACTTGACGGAGGAGGTTTACATGTCACAGCCCCCAAGATTTGAAGACCCTAATCATCCACATCATGTTTGTCGATTACATAAGGCACTTTATGGCCTCAAACAAGCCCCCCGGGCATGGTTTACAAAGCTGAAAACTCACCTTATCGCTCATGGTTTTCGTGCCTGTCAGTCTGATACATCGCTTTTTGTTCACTCGTCTGCCATTACCACCATGTATATTTTAGTGTATGTCGATGACCTGATCATCACAGGAGACAATCCTCAGCTTCTACAACGATTTATCACTAATCTACATCAAAATTTTGCTCTCAAAGATATTGGTGACCTAAATTATTTTCTCGGCATACAAATTGTTCGCACGGCCAGTAGCCTTACGCTATCTCAGCACGGGTACATTCAGGACATTCTGGTCCGTAGCAAGATGATTGATTCCAAGCCCCTGTCAACACCTTCAGATTCGTCTGCCTCCCTCTAACTTGATGGAGAACCCTTTTCTGATCCTAAGCTATATAGGCAGGTGGTTGCTCTCTTCAGTATGCAACTATCACTCGTCCCGACATTGCTTATGCGGTTAATAGGGTGTGTCAATACATGCATGCACCTACCATATCACATTGGCAAGCTGTTAAAAGAATTCTGTGTTACTTAAATGGAACTATGCATTACTGCCTGCATTTTAAACCAACCAAGGCCTTGTCTCTTTTTGCTTATTCCGATGCTAGATGGGTTTCTGATAAGGATGACAGTAGATCACAATATGGGTTTGCTGTATTTCATGGCCCAAATCTGATAAGTTGGACTTCTCGAAAACAGCGTGTGGTGGCCCGCTCTAGTACTGAAGCGGAGTATCGTGCTCTTGCATACACTTCCGCTGAACTTCTATGGATTCAACAGCTCCTATGTGACCTTCATGATCCAATCAAGCAGCCTCCTACACTTCTCTGTGATTATATAGGAGCCACTTTCTTGTCCCGGAATCCAGTCATTAGCTCACGCTCCAAACACATTGCCCTTGATTTTCATTTTGTAAGGGAGCAGCTAGAAGCCGGTACTCTACACATCAACCATGTTTCTTCCGTGGATCAGGTTGCTGACATATTCACAAAGTCATTGAGTAAAGATCGGTTTATTCAACTTCGTTCCAAGCTCTACGTTCAACCTGCCCTTGAGCTTGCCGGGGGGTAATAACCGAATAGCAGGCAGTTTACACTTTTGGCTAAGTCAACATATTTGCCCTGATCTTATGGGATCAGTTTCTCAACTTATCAGTTTAGCTTAGTCAGTTTTATTATTGCTGTACATATAGCTTCATCATCCCTTGTAAAAGCATGTTCAGAAACATAAAGCATTCTCTTTGAGTTTATATCTAACTTCTCTTCTTCTCCTTCTTCTCGTCAACGAAACTTTTCAAACTCGGCAACAGCTCCTTAGACCTAGGCAAAACCCTGCGATGGTGAAGTCGTTGATTAGGCATTTGGGGAAGGCTCACGATAGCGAAAGATATTTTCAGCAGCCTCTGAATCTGCTCCTACGACGGCTAGTGGTTGGACCAATTTCAACTGCAAGGATTCCAAGGTTACCCAGACAGCCGCAATCCTATCAGTGTTCTCACAATCCGGCGATTAAGACTATGTCTGGAGCTCAAAGGAAGGGGTTGGACAGTAGAGAGGGAAGGTCAAGGGGCTGGATTTGGGGTAGTGATTGAGGCTTCAGTGGGTGCAGGCACTTTCATAGTCACCCGTGGTAGTTGTCAGTGGAGGGACTGAGGCAGAGGAGGGGTTGTGAGCCTAGGGAAGGGGCTGGTATGGAAAGGGAAAGTTTGGGTTGTGAAGTAGGGTTGGGGATTAGGGTTGGTGATTGATGGTGGCGAGCGGTAGTGACTGGAGTAATTGTGGCCGGAGTAACTATGGTCATCATAATCACGTGGAGGTGTCACTATGGTCGGCGGCGGCAGTAACCGACATTTGTCACTGGCCGGGGCGAGTGATCACGACAACGGATGTCACTGTGGCGGGGGTCACTGTGACTGGTCTTGTAACTATAAAATAAAGTCACTACAAATTAGGGGTAATTTAGTAAGTTGAAAGCATACCAGTCACATTTTTGGAACTTTAAAAAAATAGTCATTTTTTGCCATTTATCTACTTTTTAGTAATATATTAAGGTCAAAATCCCTTTTTTAATTCTTAATAATTATGCATTTTCACACTTTCTTTTAATGCATTTACACATTGCATTTGTTATGAATTTATCATGTATAATTAGGGATAGACCCGGGCCGGTTCCGGTTCGGGCCAGGGCCGGTTCGGGCTTGGGCCCGGCCGGGCTTTAATTTGGGAATTGTGGAACCGGAACCGGCCCGGGTAGCCGGCGGTTCTGGGCCGGGCCGGGCCAGTTCCGGTTCAATGTTATTTTTTTGTTTTCTTTTGATTTTCTAAACAACCCCCGACCCCCCCCCCCCATCCCCCCAAACCCCCCCAAAACACCCAGCCCAACCCGGTAGAAACAAAAAAGAATTGAAAAAACTAAAAAAAAAAAAAAAAAAAAAAAAAAAAATAGGCCCGAACCGGGCCGGTTCGCATTTTAGGGACCCGAGCCCGCACCGGGATTAGAGCGGTTCCGGTTGGCCCGAACCGGCCCCAAGATCGGGTACTGGGCCGGGCCGGACCGGGCCCAAACAGTGCCGGGCCGGGCCGGTTCCGGGTCGGGCGGCCCGACCCGAGTCCACCCATGTGTATAATTATTATAATCAAATAATAATAATACAAGATATTTGAATTAAATTTTTCTCGTGCATCGCACGTGTGAGAATCTAATTAGTTACACTTCCGAGTATCCAACCAAACCATCTTACAGTAGTAATACACTAATGATAAAATCAAACTATTTAGATCACAACTTCAATATAAACAACAATCATGTATGTATTTCAACAACTTTCAACAACAAGGGTGGATCGGGCCCAAGCCAGACCAGGCTCCGGGACAGGATTGGGCGGGACTGGGATTTTGGGTTGCAGGCCCGGTACCGGCCTGGGTTTTTACCGGGACCGAGCCGGTCAAATTTATTCCTACCCCCAAACCACCCAGCCCTACCCGCCAAGAAGCCTATTAATTGCGGAAAAAAAATGGGCCCGAATTGGTCCCGGACCGGTCACCTATTTTCTGAACCCGTAGCCCACCCTCCCCTATACCCAGTTCGGGCCCCAATCCTGGTCTCGGTACCGCCCGACCGAGCTGGGTCTAAACAGTGGTGGGACCGGGTCGAGCCGACCTATCCCAGTCCATCCCTACTTATAGGGAGGTTCTCTTCAGTTGCACTTTGGGATGGGCTTTACTTCGGGTTGGGTGTGTTTGGCATTTAGCGGTTAGCGGGTTGTTAATGGCGGATTCAAGGTTTGACCAGCGAAATAAAATTGGCGGGTTTTCAGAAGATGTTTGGTAACTTAGCTGTTTGGCCATAAAACTAATACAAAACGTCATTTTTCAAAACGCTAACCCAAAACTCTCATATTTACATCGTTTTCATTTCAGCGGATCCGTCCAAAAACGTTAGTGCCAAACCACTATTTACAAAACAACGTTTTCACTCATTAAAAACGCCAAATGTGGTCAAACCGCCATTTTTTGGCTGAAACGCCATTTACCAAACACGGTTTAGGGTTTAGGGTTTAGTGTTTAGGGTTTAGGGTTTAGGGTTTAGGGTTTTTGTAAATAAACATTACTTTTATTTTTGAAAAACACCTTTTTTTTACTGATAATTTTGCCCATTTACCAAACACCCCTATGTATCCTTCTTTTGTTATGCTTTCTTTTTTCTGTTGTTTTTGTTATTCATCTCCATTGTACTTTTCTTTCTCCTTCGTTAATAATTTTTTTCCTTTTTGGTAAAAAAAACTTCAATGTAAACACCGGTTATACAACTCCAGCCATTGCAGCTGATGGAACCACCACAAGCCATTACCAAAGATATGTCATGCACAAGATGCTATTTATATACTCCGTATAAATTTATTACTATTATTTTTTTGTTATAAATTTATTACTATTATTATACTCCGTATTTTATTACTACTTAACAAGAAATAACAAAGATTTCTTCAAAAAAAAAGTAATAACAATGATAAACATCACCTTATAAGTCTTTGACATCCTAGATTGTTCCAACAAGGTGAGGGCATCGCATTGTAAGTTAATTTAATGTTCACTGCCGACAAATTTTCAGCCGGCATACTCCCTTGTCATAAAACTTATTTGTAAGGGAGTTCAATTCCCTCCCTTGAGTATGTCATAGAATTGCAATGGCTTTCTCTTGGGGGATGAACAATTCTCCTGAAAAAGAAAGCATGTCCGGTGTTAATTTATTTAATACAAGGCATCGTCTTTCATAAAATGGTTTTCTTTTTGTTTAATGACGGACCAACAGACCTAGTATTGTTAAAAGAGCAGTGTCGAGCTCCATCACCACTATTTTAAACTCCACTCAAACTTATTTCCAGTCTGCTGGCTTGAGCTCAGCTCGCTAAGGCTTTGAGTGTGTATCGGCACTCAGACATTGCTCGTTTTATGCTAGACCCAAGCTTAATACCCAACGGGTGCGAACTGCGAAGTGACAATTATGCCTTCAATATGAGCCTAAGGGTGTGTTCGCAATTACTTCTACTTAAAAAAAAGTAATTTTTCAAAGTTTTTGGAAAAAGTGCTTAATAGTTAAAGTTTTTGGTAATGTTTGAGAAAAATGTGATTTTGAAAAAGCAAAAGCCGATAGTGTTTGATAAAATAAGTGCTTTTATGTAATAGAAAAAATGAAAAGCAGTTTAAAGCACCCTTCAACTTGCTTCCAACTTTTAGCTTTTTAAGTGTTTGATTTAAGCAGAAGTTGTCATTTGAAACCACTAACTTCAACTTTTTTAAAACCAAAAGCAAAAAAGCATTTTTTTTAAGTTTTTGCAAACACTCCCTAAGTCAAGTTCTCGAGCCAATATGGCTTGTCTACTCGTTTATAATTGGTCATCATGCCATCATACCAAATATTTATTTAATACACAAGGCATCATCTTTCAAAAAAATTGTGGTCTTTTGTTTAATGAAGAGGAACCCATAGACCTAGTATTGTTAATAGAGCAGTGTCGAGCTCAGCTTACTAAGGCTTTGAGCATGTATCGGCACTCAGATGCCGCTCGTTTTATGCTTAACCCAAGCTTAATATAGTGAAGTGTTAATCCCAATGGGAGCAAAGTGACCACCATTATGCTTTGAATACGAGCCTAACTCAAGTTCTCAATCCAAGCTGGCTTATCTACTCGTTTATAATTGGCCATCATACCATCATACCAAGCTCAAGTTCGACTCATTTTACCAAAGAAACAAACTGAGCTGGAGCTCACAATCAGCTTGCTTCATATAAACAATGGCGCACATTTTTTTTTACTCCAGGGGGTCTGGGGGAGGGGGTCTGGAGTAATCAGGGCTGAAGCTCACTTCATTGAGTTTCAAACCCTTTATGTGCCCAGCGGGTTTCGAACTCGAGACCTTTCGCTAGGCACGGTAACCTCACAACCAGCTGGGCTGGAATGCTTGGTTAAACAATGGCGCACATATCACATCAGAGATATTAAAATCCACCACCCTATAAAATATGTGGATGACAACAGGAGGGGTTACACTTTGGTTGGCAATGCAACCTATGTTTACGCACCCACCCCCTTCTTGCCAACTTGGTCACCTCCCCTTATCATGGTAGTCTGTTTTCATGTAGGTGTGATGCAATGAAGACAATACCTCTATTGCAGCTGCCAAATGTAAAATGGAAGCTTCACACCAAGGTCGGCCTATGAGTTGGATGCCTATAGGTAGTCCTTGCATGTCGTAACCAATCTGAACATTCAACGATATATCCCACATATTGCCATCAAAGCTGTTTGATGCCTGAGAAGATTATGGTCACAAAATAAACCTCATACACTATGATGTTCTCACTTACAGGAACAGAAATGGCTGGAAGCCCCAGAAGATTTGCGGTTATAATGAAACGCATGAGATTTCCTGAAGAAACATGCACTATTAAATATTAATAGTTAAGCATATATATAACTAAAAGTAGCATAAAGGCAAGCATGTGAATACTAATAATCCCAAGTTCCTAAGAGCTTGACTATTACTTCATCTGTCCCACAAAGATGACCTTTATTACATTTTGGTCCATCTTCCAAAGACTGTCCAATCTGTAGATCAGGTGTGCATTTGATTTCCCATTTTCAGGTTTGCCCTTATTTAAAAAAAAACTAAGATAAGAGTAATTCCATTTTGTTCATTAAAAAATTTCACAAAAGGGCACATCTGTGCGTTTCACAATTGCATATGAAATTAATTATTCCAACTGAACAATTATTTCTTGATCCTCGTATAATTTACATAAGTATCTCTTTAAGGGGCGGAACATATTTGCTTCAACCTTGACGAGTAGAGAAACACGTTTCCTTCAGTTCTTTTTGCACTTTACTCATGGCAGCATATAAGCACTAGACTAGACTTATAAAGGAGGGTCAAATCGAAACATAAATGAGACCCTCTTTCCACAAACTGATGCATCCTCTATTCCAAAATCACCAATGCATGACAAGTGCTTCATAATGATGTCATCTAAGACACTTGGCAAGCATGAGGGTGTAATAGAGGAGGGTGCAGTGGTTTTTAGAATATATGATCCCAATTAAACCTGGAAGTAGAAAAGGAAAAGTCAACCTGACACTTGCAAATTTGACTCTCCAACAGCAAGAGCACTTGCTGGTATTATGGGTGCTGTCATGCTGAAGAAAAGAATGCACACTTTCTTAGTATCTTACTGAGAATTCAATTAGAGACAGACTTAATTCATTGCATGATTTACATCTAATGAATCTATCAGGAAAAGATCTAATTCTATAATAAATTATCATAACCGAAAACCAGGCCACTAACATACCCAGTTGTAGCAGTTACTATGACATCCACGTTCTTAAATATCTCCATATGGTAGTACATTAGCCTTCTCCTGAAATAAAAATATTCATAACAAATTCATCATGGCTATTTATCTTTGATTATAAATGAGAATTTTGCTTGCGAACTCTGCATAGTAATTCAAAGCACATTATCACAACAAAGTAACAAACAAATATCAAGGACTACAATTGAGCTGTTTGAATGCAACTAAGCAAATATTAAGTATTCAGGTAACACAATAACATTTGTTACCTTTACCTCACGGCACTAGCATCCATGAGTGGCCATGCATCCATGTTGAGCTGGGTCTAACTCAGCCTAAAGGGATCTCACTAGGTGGGGGGGGGGGGGGGGCTACCTCACACTCACATACTAAACTCAAACACAATAGACAACCATCAACAACAGGATATTCAATAGCAATTCTTAAGGTTTTTAAAATAATATTAAAGCAGTGTTAGATTCACATAAAATGCATGGAGAATGAAAAAGTGAACAACTTAAGTGCATGATAAAGCATGCCTTACCTAAGGCGCTGAGCAGCAACATAATCTGATGCTGTGAATGACCGAAAAAGTGCCAAATTGGTTCGAGTATCATGTGTCAATCTTGCTCCTTTCCTAATAAAAAAAGATGATGAAACATGCATTAATTGACAGATACATCTGAAATCACATTAAGGCTGGTGGATTAATATATAAAGTTGAATAAGCACACCCTCCCTCCAAGTAAGGATTCAAAGAGCACAGTGATTCAGAGCCTATGGAAACAATATGAGCAGTCCGCATCTCATGCAGCTCTGGTATTACAATCTCTATCACCTTGAATGCAGTAAAAATAAAAATAAAAGTCAAATGGAAAACACAAAAATAATTTTCATTTGCATTAGAACATGTAAATAAATCTTTTGGGATTAAGGCTTGGATGATGTTGTTTTGTTGTTGCATTAGAACATGTAAATATTGTCGTTTTCAAGAAGATAAAGCCAAAAAGGTCCATGAAAGTAGACGCTCCATGCAAGACACTTACTTTGCACCCATACTTTTTTGACAGTTGATGCAGGACACCCTCACATTTTTCAGATATTTCAGGGGAGAAAACATCATTAAACCACTGAAGCAACAACCCAAATGCAATTAAACATTGAAATGAAATAATCATTTGAAATTACATGTATGACCATCTTCAGCAAAAAGAACGTTGTTTACCTCTGTATACTTTCCCAACCTCATTGATCCCAGAACATCCAAACTTTCATTTGAAGATAAATTAGGTACACAAGGTTGGCCCTAGCATAGAAGTAGAATAGTATGATAGAAATATGGATGATTTTTTACATGAACAAAGGATAAAAATATATGATAAACCTGGTTCACATGGACATAGGACATCAACATAATCAATTAAACAGTCTTAGTGACAAATGGATCTGACAATGATCCGTGTTGTTTTGAAATAAAGGACATGAGACTTAAAACTACACAATCATTTTCATTTACCCCAGTGCCGCAAAGGCTCCCACCTACAGTGGGGTAGGGGGGGAGGTCGGATGTACGCAGTCTTACCCCTGTACTAAAGCACAGAGAGACTGTTTCCGGATGACCCATAATGAAAATCGCGTCCAAAATTGCATGGACTGACTGCTGCTTCATAAAAAAGAAGCGCAGACAGTTTAGTGAGCCATTTTGCTTTATTCCATCATATTCTCAAGACTTAAACTACACAATAAAGTGATTAAAAGTTTTAAACTTATGAGAGGAGAAGCCCAGAATCTTATATGTTGGTTTATTATTTTATAGTTAGTCGCTCTAAGATAAATACTTCAACCCGCAACCTAAGTGTATAACACATTAGAACACCTTTTTTGGAGGAATTATATGCACAGGTGAAAATTTTGAAATGTAGAAACAACTGATTCAATTTAGTAAATCAACAATTCATAAAAAACGTGAAAATATAGGAATGTGTACACTAGACTATCTTCTTGTTCATTCTTGTGTCCTCATTGGAGAGCTGTAAGGAGCCATCCCCTATTAACTTCAAGCTCAGACTATTGAAAACACTCTCTAGAATACTGCCGTGACGCTTTTCTCCAATCCGTACCCACCTTCATCACTGATGCAAATTCCTCATAGCTTATCCGTCTATCGTTATTTGTATAGGCTAAACTAATGGGTGGATAAATAGGCTAAACTAACCCCACACCCCAAACAGGCTACTCCAAGTCTCCAAATCATGGATGTCAACCAAACAAACGTAGCACAATTGGACCACTCTGATACCATATTAAGTATTGGGCTTCCAAACTAAAAGGGTAACTTGATGAAGTAACTCAAAATCTTATATGTTGGTTAATTGTTAGATATTTAGTCGATATGGGACAAACACTTCAATAATGATAAGCATAACCAAGTTCAAAATTATCAAAATGTTGGTAAAGGATTACTGCCAAATGAGCAGACTCTAGAAATGGGCATTCACAATCTGGGGTAGCAGTAGGTATGTCCATAAAACTTGTACATAAGTTGCAAGTATTCACTGCTGCTTGTTAGCATTTCTACCGGAATATTGAAGGGGACGGGGAGGATTGAGTTGCACAATTTGTTCAGATATTTATATTATGATGCCAGAAAAAAAGATAAGTTACATAACTATTAAAAATATGGGTAAAGAAAATAAAAGATTTGTCTATATAGCGAACAGAAAGTGAGCAATTTGGTGTCTCCATATAGCGAACAGAAAGTGAGCAATTTGGTGTCTCCATATAGCGAACAGAAAGTGAGCAATTTTGTCTCCATATAGCGAACAGAAAGTGAGCAATTTTGTATATATATAGCGAACGGAAAGTGACCAATTTCAAGGCAATTACCGGTTTCAGAGAAATTCTATCTGCAGGAGAGGATCCTAATATTGCTGAATACCTGAAAAAATGGATAAGACTGTCAGTATAAGAGAGTAAGTTCCTATTTAATGAAATATAAATTAAATATGTTCATTGTTGTAAAAATTTCCGCATAGTCTCAAGTTCGCGGCACTGTCCACACCTAAGCATTACACTCTCCTTGGCCAATGAAGTTATTTTCTGTCTTAGGTCCCACACTCCCACCTAATTCCACTTCGATCCCACTTAACCCCAATTAATCCCCACTTATGCACTAGGCCTCAGTTTGATTATAGCATTTGTTACAACATTGAACACAATACTGATTTATATGTCAAATAATGATGGGTAAGTTATATATAGAAGATGATCATTCTGTATTGATACTCTAGAATGGATGAATATCAATTTTAGAAAGGAAAACAGGACCATTTTTTCATAACTGATCAATACAAGTAATCAAATCAATCATGTTTGACTAACGATCAAATAAAGCACACAGAATATAACATAAAACTGAGAATCAGGACCAATAGAATCTTACACAAGAATGGCGTCTTCAACAGTTGCTGTGATAGGTCCAATGATCTCCACAGTCCCAGCGCCACACATTGCTCTGCACAGACACACTAAGACTTGAAGATCACTCTAAAAAGTAGCTTATGTCAGCCCCCACTTTAGGTGTACACCAACTAACACTTTCGTTTGTATTCTTCTTTAATGATTACATACATCACAAAAGGAAATGCATATGTTTATTTATGCAGAGAACAATTGTTGGATGATGCTAGCACTTGTCCCATAGTGTTCGGGTGAACAGGCGATCAGATGAAAGACAAGATGATAATTTGATGCTGAGAGCCTCCATTACAGAGGGGATCTGATGCATTCATAGGGCGTCAATATCACCGTAAAAGAAAGAAAGATAAAAATCAGCAAATCACAGAGACAAATCAGACTGATTTGGAAGACAAATAAAACCAAACAAATCTGGGAGACAAATAAATCAGACAAATCTGATTGACATGTCACAGACAGGGATTTGAGATCCTTAGAGATCTGAGATATTATTTTCCGATTGCAATCTTTGAATTATTGTTTTCTTTTTAGTTGTTTTCTTTATTTTATTTTCCAAACTCTGTAAAGCCTATTTAAAGGCCTGTTGAATGCAGGGAAAAGGCATGCAAGTTTTTAGCAAGTAAAGTGAATTCTCAATAAAAAAATTCTAACTTGTGACAAAAGTTTGCATAATTGTTTTCTGCCAAACAGCAAACATAGCCAACCCTTCCAAAGCTCAGTCTACCCTCCCCCTCACCCGAAGGCCTGTCATGCCTGTGACAAGATCTTGCACACAAGCTGCCCGTAACATTGGTTCCGTTGCCGGCGTTATGTGCGATGGTCTGTTTGCATCAAAGGAAGAAGTCTCCAATCTAAAAGAATCCATAGATCGCCTTGAACAGATGATGGAAAAATTACTTGCAGACGGAGGTAAAACTTCAACAGCAGAGGCTAGCAATGCTGATCCGGTGCTGGTACATGCACCCGACAACATGAATCACATGGCTACTACTCATGGATCACATTTTGAGTTTCCCCTTTTCTCTGGCACGGAAGATCCACTCAGTTGGCTTTATCGCTGCGAGTTATTCTTCATGAATCAGAACGTTCCCCCTGCCAAACGAGTCTCTATGGCTACTTACTATCGAACTGGAGATGCTCAGTTGTGGTATCATCATCTACGCCAAGACCAGCCCCATATTTTTTGGGAATCTTTTCGAGATTACTGCACTCACAGATTTGGTCCCCCTGGTGGTGCAAATCCATTAGGGGATTTGACAAATCTAAAACAACAAGGCCGTCCAATTGAGGAGTACATCACACAGTTTCAGAACAGCCTAGCACGTGCACCACCACTTCGTATGGAATACCAAGTTTCAAAAACCATTGAATCTGACAATGGCGTTTAGTGAGGCAAGACTATTCGCGAGAAAGTTGCAGCTTTGGACTTCGACTCATCCCAGAACATTACGGCCGCCTCCCAAGATAGGGCACTTTCCGACAACAGCCACCACACAATTACCATGATATGAAGCGGGAAGAGCATGGGGCGGGACGGGCTTGAGCCCACCTTCGTGGGCTGGCTATGGGCAATTTAATTAATTTTAATTATTCCTTTTATTTTGTTTCCTAGTATAATTTAATTAGGACTTCTATTCTCATTAGAATTAGAGGTTTCCTATTTTTATTTAGTTTCCTAGAATGATTTAATTAGGACTTCTATTAGAACTAGGGGTTTCCTATTCATTTTAGTTTCCTATTATGATTTAATTAGGATTCCTATTCCTATTCTTATTAGACCTAGAGGATTATTTATACCCCTTGTATGCTTCATTCTTGATCATCTGGGAATAAAATTGGTTTTAGCCTTTTGGCTCTGGGCAACGGTATTTTTATCGTTGATTATCTGGGCAACGGTTTACCCCGTTGATTTTTATTTTTCTGTTCTTATCATACCACCAGGTGCAGGACCCTCAATAACTCGGTCAGCCCCCTCCTCCATACATGAAGAGGCTGTCTAAAAGTGAAGCAGCAGAACGGCGAGCGAAGAGACTTTGTTACAACTGTTATGAAACATATGTACCGGGGCATAGATGCAAACGACTATTTTGTCTTTGGATGGATGATGACGAGGAAGGATCTGAAAGTCACATTGAGCCCACAATTTCCCTGTATGCCATGGCTATGGCTGGACTTCGTCACCCCAACACGCTTCAAGTGCAAGTCCAGTTGGCCGGTAATTATGTTCTTGCAATGATTGATTCAGGGAGCACTCATAATTTCATCAATTCCCAAACTGCTCTCTCACTCAGGTTGCCAATAACATCTCGTCGGGATTTTCGTGTGGTAGTGGCAAATGGAGAAAAGCTATTCAGCATAGGTGTGTGCGAGCAAGTAAGACTTATTAAGGCCGGTGCCACATTCCGGATTAATCTTTTCGTCTTACCGATATCAGGGTTTGATATAATCTTTGGGGTAAAATGGTTGGAGGAATTGGGTGATATCGTGTGTAACTTTAGGGAGCAAAAAGGAGTAAAGGGTCACCTTTACCATACATGGAAGAACCGTTGCTTGGACAGGAGATGCAGCTCCAGTTAGCACCATTTTGTATTCTATGCATCCTGCAATTTCTAATGATCAAGCAATGGAGGAGCTTCTGGGTTACTTTGACACCATTTTTTCTGATTCTATGGCACTGCCTCCAACACGCAATTGTGATCACCGTATTATTCTCAAAGCTGGGACAGGTCCTGTTGTTGTACGACCGTATCGCTACCCACAACTGCAAAAGGATGAAATTGAGAAGCAGTGTTTGGAGATGCTGGAAAGAGGACAAATTCAGCCAAGTCAAAGCCCGTTTTCATCTCCAGTACTCTTGGTAACCAAGAGTGACAACTCATGGCGCTTTTGTGTAGATTATCGGGAACTCGATGCACACACCGTTAAGGATAAATTTCCCATTCCAGTAATTGATGAGCTCTTAGACGAACTTCACGGATCTCAGTTCTTCACAAAGCTTGACATGCGCTCAAGGTACCATCAAATACGCATGAGCCCAGAAGATGTTGAAAAAACAGCATTCCGCACCCACCATGAACATTTTGAATTCCTGGTAATGCCATTTGGCTTGTGCAATGCACCGTCCACCTTTCAAGCACTTATGAATGAGGTATTTGGGCCCCATCTTCGTAAATTTGTCTTTATCTTTTTTGACGACATATTAATCTACAATCACACTTGGGTGGAGCATCTACAACACATTAGAATTGTGTTTGGATTACTCCAAACTCATCAATTGTTCCTAAAAAGGAAGAAATGTGTTTTCGATGTGCTAAAGGTAACCTATCTTGGACATGTGATTACTGGAAATGGGGGTGGCGGCAGATAATTCAAAAATCCAGGCAATCATTTATTGGCCTGTACCAGTCACAACCACTGCTCTTCGTGGATTCCTTGGCCTAGCTGGATTTTACCGACGTTTTATCCGGAACTTTGGTGTGCATGCAGCACCTTTAACTTCACTCCTTCGTCGCAATGCATTTTCATGGTCTAGTGAAGCTCAAACTTCATTTGACAAGCTCAAAACTGCCTTGTCCAGTTCACCCGTATTGCAATTACCCAACTTCTCCAAACCATTCCTAATTGAATGTGATGCATCAGGGGTGGGTATTGGAGCAGTTCTCCAAGGAAGGCCAGATTGTTTTCAACAAAGCAACACTAGGGGGAAATTTTAGCTGGACAGTTCGTGATGGCTTGGTCTATTACAAGTCCAAAATATATGTGCCAATCGACTTTAATTATATCCCAACCATCCTCGCAGCAGTTTATAATGCTACTCATGAAGGGATTCAAAAGACTCTGCATCGCATAAAAAGAGAATTCTATTGGGACAGCATGACATCTTCGGTAAAGGACTTCATCACCAATTGTGCTATTTGCCAAAAAATTAAATGGGAAAACTTGCACCCAGCTGGTTTACTACAACCTCTACCAATTCCTAAACACATATGGGCGGGTATTTCAATGGATTTTATTGACGGGCTACCAAAGGTCGGGGGTAACTCAGTTATCGATGTAGTGGTGGATCGATTCATCAAATACGCTCACTTTATGGCATTGTCACATCCTTACATAACAGCGTCAGTGGCTCATTCTTTTTTCGGTAATATCTTTAAACTACACGGCCTGCCTGAAACAATAGTCAGTGACAGAGATGCAGTCTTTACAAGCTTATTCTGGAAGGAACTCTTTAAGTTATGTGGCACACACTTGGCATTTTCTTCATCTTATCACCCAGACGGTCAAACAGGAGTCATTAACCGCACACTCGAAATGTATCTCAGATGTATGGTAGGAGATCACCCACGTAGGTGCGTAGACTGGCTGCCATGGGTTGAGTTCTGCTATAACACCTCTCTCCATTCGGCTTTGGGTACTTTGCCCAGGTCATATATGGGCGCGAACCGCCGAGGCTTATATCCTATGAACCAGGATCATCCAAAATAGAAGTGGTACACACTGCTTTGAAGGACAGAGATGCAATCGATGCAATCTTGAGCGCTGCTCGAAATCACCTCATACGTGCTCAAGACAGATTGCATGTTGCATACGACAATAACCACTGAGACGTTGTGTTCAACGAGGGACACGTTGTGTTCAACGAGGGACAGTGGTTTTGGCTTTGCCTGCACCCATATCGTCAATTCAGCGTAACCAAACGGACATCAGCAAAATTATCCCCACGGTATCTTGGACCATTCCAGATCATCAAGAAAATTGGGAAAGTGGCATATAAGTTGGCCCTTCCAGAGGGTAGTAAAGTCATGATGTTTTCCGCATTTCATTACTGAAGGAATTTAAGGGAACACCATCGGCACAGTCTCCCACACTACCTAATCTTCATGATGGGAAGCTTCTGCCACATCCAAAAGAGGTCTTGCGGGAAAAGAGGTCTTACGTGGTCGTCTTAACAGGGGCAGAAAAGAGATTTTAGTGGTATGGTCTGGCATGCATCCAGATGAGGGTACTTGGGAGGATGTTGATGAGCTCAGTCTTCAC